GCTTCTAGGATTTATTGAGGTTATGGTACAGAAGGGATAATTGCTATTTAGGTGCGCTTACCATAACGGAAATGTATTTTATTTATAAATAATTACATAGGAAACGTTTTATTTATGTATAGTGCAGGACTGCAGCCAAGTTGTTGCTCCGATAAAATTTAATACTCTGAGAACAATTTCGTCTTTCGAGCAAAGAGTCATATAATATAACCTTGAATTCACAAGACGCATATAAGTTTCAGTGAGCAGTTAGCTACAAGTTACTGAAGTAAATCGATCAAACATTTATTGGCAGCGCAGCAATATGTACAAAATTAAAAGTTACTCTTACAAGGCAAGCAGGATGTATCAGCACTGTGGGAATAGCGTTGGTATTGAGACTCAAATGCCGGGTTAGCTGAGGGACGTCCTCTGGTATCTTGACAGGGACGGGCGTGGCAAATAGAATTTGTTCTCTTGAATGTGATTGCTTTTTATATTATTTAGCCACATTTCTCTGCAAAATGCTTTAGGTGCTTACACTACATTTAAACTTTACTCAGTGGTTTTTTTGCGGTTAAAACAAACACAGTGAAACTGTTGGAATAGTTACCCCGAATCTTTGGTTAAGGATTCAAGTAATTTGTTTCGCGTTGTGTTCCAACTTTGCAGAAATGTATGAGAAATAATAATAGACCATAAATTGCTGTAGATGAAGGTGGTTTCTACTGCACGGCTTTTCGTTATCCACGCTCGTACAGTTGCAAATTCACACAGATTTTTCAAAGTTACATATCAAGGAAAAATATTTGTGCACGCATATTAGCAGCATTTAGAACGAACGCAGGCAAAAACCGTTTTTATTTAAAAAATATTTATTACTGATTAATGAAGGTTTGCTTTTGGTCGTTTTTTGGCCGTCATCTAACTGTAATGTCTATAGATTAATGTCGCCCACTGCTCCTAGCCATATGATGTGCAGCATTCAATAAATGTCATTTTTGCAGTCTCACTCTAATTTCCTACAATTATATCTCAGTATCCCCTATGTATCCGATGACTTAGTTGTTTCCTTGATTTTCGATGATATGTTTGTTATGTTTACTGTAATTGGTACCGAAAATTTAAAGATAAAAAGCAATATTAAAGCGGCAGGAATTGCAAAAATAAGGATGGCCTACGCTGCACAACTTTAGCCAATATAGCGATGGTCCTCTTCTCAGCATAATTCAGGGAGGTTTTTATTAGCGAATTTGCACCAACCAATTAAAACCAACCTCCTACTATGAACATTTCTAATTTAAGGGCCTATTATATTGAGATAGGTGGCAATGTTTAAGTGATGCCAATGCAGTGATGCAGAAAGCTGGTAAATGCTTGCTTTCACAACCGGGAAACATTTTTCATTTTAATACATCCAATCATTTTGGTTGCTTAAAATCTACATGTCAAACCACTCTGTTTTCGCTGGACTACAATTTCTCGAACCTGAGCATCCACGCGTTTACGTATGGGTGCTGATTTTCCGTGCGCAGATATATATATATATATATATATAGATTGGAGTGTATTGTAACTCTACATACGCACATCCTGGTGTACAGAGATAGATAGAATACCAAAAGGTCCTTTCAAGGAACTGCTAAAAACAATATTAATGGAAACCTGTCAAGCATGTATATCATCACCTTAGAGTGATGCATTGCATTTGACAGCCTAGACGGTAAGGAACGCATAACCTAAAACTCTGGACCTCATCTACGTTGACCGCCTTGGTTACGATAATCCATGATGCTAATTTAATCATCAGTTAGAAGAGTACAAGATAAAACGTTTTCATACCCTACAATTCAGCACTTGCGATTTTGACTGATTTAACTGAAAGTAATTCCCAAAGAAAGACAAACAAAAAATTTAAGGAGCCGAATTTTGAGCCGCTTTGATTTTGATGGTATGCGGCAACAACCCGCTCTAGTGTAGCGGCTGGGTGCCCAGCAGCTTCGTGTGAATGCGTGAAGCGATTTGATTTGGTGAACGGTGTCCACTAGGTGCGACAACACTGCACTCCTTGAATTCTTCCACACACTTCTGTAGAACAACGCTGGGAAACTCTCTAGAGCTCTAACCTAGTTGCTTGGTCGTTCTACGGATATACATTGCCTGGCACAAATAAGCGAAATTGTACATAAAAAATAAGATTTTCGACCATGGTATGCTCTCCGTAATCTGCAGGAACACAATTGGTGTTGTGCTGAGGCACGCGCATAGATCAGAAGCGATATACGTTCTCGCTGTTGCTACGGATATACTTTGATTAGTCTGTTCCATTAGCAAGGGCCCCTTAAAGGCCAACTATATATATATATATATAAATCTATATATTATATACTTCTAATTGGAAACGAGTTTTAACCCTGGCACCCGCAGTTAAATGTGCCTCAAGATGAATTTTTCTGGGTATAAAACACCTTTCGAATAAAGCTGTTAATTTGAATACACTTTTGTAAATATCTTCACTTTTCCGTTAGACAGCGCACAAAAGTGTGTTTCTGACTTACGGACAAAAACTAGCAAAGTGGATGTATTATTAACTTCAAGTTTGTTTGCTGTACACCCTGCTCCGCATCGACCAGCCTGATGCTCCATTAATTTGAACATCCGGAAATGCTAACGAGTCGTTACGTTCTAGCTCAATCGTGTATGTTATGTTATTATGTGAAAATTTACAGCAACCAGTAGATCATCCAAACATACTCAATGTTTGCGATACAAACTATTTCGTCTTCT